AGGAGACGCCCCAAACAAAATTCTGCAAAGATACTGGACTAACTCAATATTTTTCGCGGTCGACTAAACAATCGCCGAGTCCACGAGCATGGAACAACTTGGGTTTGGCCCAAAGGTTGCGTAGGCACTCGTGTGCCAGTGTCGACATTTTGACAGTAATGCTAGTGGTGTCCTTGAACTCGTTAACTTGGACGCTGAAAAGACGCAGACAATCAATCCAAGCTTGTCCTCTAAAACCCGACTTATACATGACACTAGTGATCATACCTGGTCTGACAACATTCTTAAATATCGCGGATTGTGTGCACGCGGTGGTCTGTATTACTAGTTAGGAGACATTGATTCACTCCGCAGCAACGGAGATCGAAGGCTGGTGATCTCAAAAACGCCCTATTTTGATGTATCACGTCGAGTTGGCATCTGCACAGGTACCTTCTCTGACTCTGTTAGGTAGACAGCGGCGTCGGACCACAACAGCAACAAAAATAGCTTAAGATATACTCGTAGTGTTGCCGCAGCAAGTACACTATCTCGTTTGAGACGCAATTAGTTTACTTGAAAAGTGGTACAACGATAACCGGTCCCCCGGTCTTCGCTCGTCTTTCAATTGCGCAGTCCAGCATTTACGGCCGTACAGGAGGACTTATCACTGGTGCCCGGCACATGCGGGATTTTTGGACGTCGAATCGGTAGGAAATTTTGAAGTTTTGGGAAAACCCTGTACGCAGTGAAGCCGAAAAGGGTGATTTTTCTCTGTTCATTTGGTAGCAACCTCATCTCGAGGTATCTGCACTGTTATTACGAAGATAACAGCCATTAGTTCCCTGCGGTGCCTTCTGACTAGAAATGTTCGAAACTAATAAACTCACTGCTTTAGCGTCTTCATCTACCCATCACAATTTGGCCCCAGCAGGACGACACCGCCCTTGTGTTTAAAGTCAGTCGGCCGGAGCCGGGTGCGAATTTCAGTACGTCGACTCCGGTCAGTGTCACAGTTGAAACAGAATGCAACCTTGTCGAACGCCAAACCATGTATCGATTTTTTGACAGGGACTTTTGAGCCTGAACATGCGTAGTGGCAGGGCAGTATCAGGTCGTGATCAAGACCATTTTTGCCTATGTACCATACAACTTCGCCGTGGAATCGAAAGCTGCGGCGAGTTCAATAAATCTTACTAAATTATCAACTAATGCTTACGTTCTTCAGTTTTTTAACACCACCCCTTAACGTCTTAGCTTCTCGTCTTTTAGCACGTTGCGCCTTTGAAATTTATCGTTGAAACCCCAGAAGAAAGGTCACCGCTTCCACTTTCGCAAGGACCATCCAACGCTATGCTCAGCGCAACTGCCAGGCGCATATTAGAGAATTTAGAGCGCCATTCCTCCCCAATAACGGCCAATGACAAAATTCCCCTCCCAAACCCTCGACCTCCGCCACCCCCGACTCTGGTGAGTTTCTGTCTTGCTTGAGGCTTTTGACGTCC